GTGTGTGTTGCAAGTTTAGCTGATAGTTATGACGTATTGATACGAAATTACGTTATAAATAATAATACGTATATTTAATATATTATATTTTATGTTCAATGTGTACGTTGTGATAATGTTATTATTGTTACAAGGGCTGTTTAGAAAAGATGACAATATCGATAAAATAAAATTTTTCCAGAAAACGTTAAAAACAGTGACATGCAATTATATTTCTCCCTGTACTCTTACAATCAAAACTAATGTTATCAAATTCGTTAATATTGTTTCTATATTTCTAAATCATTTATTACTTAGCTTAATATTTTTCAAGGTCTATTAAAAACAATTTTACGTATGAAATATCAATATCAAAATAAAAATTACGTTTATGTAATAAAAAAATATTAATGAATAACATAAACTAACTTTAAATAATATTCTGACAAATTTTACAATTTTTATTATTATATCAATTTTATTTTGGCATCAAACTATTTGTTTAATATTAAAACCCAATGCCAAGCGTTCATATAGCAAACATTTAGATTTAAGGTCGTTGTGTTATTTGCAATATTTGCAATATTTTAAAAATTGTTTTATTATTGTGTTACTAGTATGGACAATATTAACTAATATGATGAATATATAATTCTACAAGATTTTTTTTTTAAATATCTATAGTTTGAAGAGCATTGTTTTCAAAAAGATACATACTATTGAATTACGAAGAAGAAGAAGAAAATTTAAAAATGTCTTCTTCTTTTTTTTTTTACAATCCTCTACATTTTATCGTGAGCACTTCACACAAATGTCATCAGTGTCTTTGAGTGTAAGTGTAATTCGCCAACACAATAAAGGTTGTAATACGGGGAAATAACCGGGATCGTAGGCGAGATACCGTTTGCCGTTTATCGACGTTTAGAGATACACTTCAAGTCCGAAATATTAGAATCGTATCGCCACCTCTTCTCTTGCTATTACCGTTGGCCGAACTATTGTTTTTTATCGTCCTGAATAAACATCATTGGGCCGTTCATACACTTTTCGGACAAACGAACCATTCGTTTAGTTTTATTATTCCCACTTCAATTCCCCCCACCACTAAACCCACTATCAACGGTATATTATGTACATGTGCAGTGCGCACGTTATATTTACTATAACGATCTAGGTACCGTCCAAATGTATAAGAATTAACGACCTGGTGTTCTGTAGTCATCCAACGCGGTGRAACAATAACTGATGTGGCATATASAATAAGGGTAAGGTTATTCGAACACTGAGAATCTTGTTAAACTTTTTAATAATAATTTGTATTTTGAAAAGAGGAATTTCTAGTTTATGTGTAATTTTTAATATAAAAAACATATTAGGTGATTGGGGAGACCTATTTTTTCAAAAGCAAATCAAATTTTTAACGAATAGCATAGGTCATGGGGTAATATCGACGAAGGYATATATTAACTATAAAATATGTTTTATAATATTCATAAGATAAATAATTGTGTTACAGTTTATACATTTATTACAGCAGTTGTAGGTGTAGACGTATATAAAAATAACATTGTTTCATTATATTTTTTTTCACCACCTACTGGATACATTTATGATGAATATCATTACCTAAATGGTTATATTAAAATTTAAAACAATATTCTGATTTTTGACCAAATATTATGTATCAAATCATATTTATTACACTATATAGATAAGATAGGTATATTTTACGCAATATTATATATTTCATATACTATAATATAYTAAATTAGTAAATATTAATTTATTATTGTAGTTATTGTTTTACTCTAATCTATATTTACTATTTTATGTTGCAAGTACAATACATATTATGTTTCTCTGTGATATTCAAATGATTTATTATATTTTTCAATATACCATAACATAAATGGTTATGAAAATTAAAATTAATAATAATGCCAAGTTGACCTACTTGCTAAACTCTTTATTATATGTTTCTTGGAATGGTTCTTTWAAAAAAATAATTGAATTAAAACAAACAAAAAACCTAAAAATTACCTAATGGTAATAGTTATAGAAAACCATAAACTATAATATAATAAAACAAGTATTAGGTAACTGCCATATTTCAATCAATATTAATCTTTTTAGTGATTGTTGCTKCGCAATATTATGAGAATTATTTTATATACTGGATATAAAATAAAAAGATAACATACAATTTATGAATTATAATTGAATAGAATAGTATGGAAAAGATATCAGAGACATAAATCTAAAGTTTAAAAATAATATTTTATGTTTTAACGTAATACCTTAGATGCATTATTGCGATAAGAATATTTCAAATGGTATTATTACCTAATTTATAACTCTAGAAAAGTATAAAGAATAGTTCAACTAACATAAAATTAATATATTTTCGACATTTCACTCGAACATTTTACTGAATTATTTGAATGGATAGTTGCTCGTATTGGGGCTCTTAATTTTGGTAATTTAAACATTTCGCCCTTCCAAGTTATCCATTAGACCTAGTTGGTCGAGACTCTCCGAAGTACCATCATATTGTACAAGAGGGAACGTGGAAAGTGACGTTAGACTATGATTGCAGATCGAATTCATCTTGTGGCGCCAGCGTAAAAGTTTTTCCCGATACTCTAATGTGGAAAATTCCAAAGCAAATACTAACCAAACTCACAATTAAAAGAAAAAAACTACCATCCAGGCAAAATTCATCACGGGATTTGTTTTTAACGTACGATGGGGAAAACAATGAAGTGAACAAAAAAAAAAAATCAACCCCGTAAGAATTCGAACGAAAACAAAAAGGAACGACACAGCGCAGGCCACAGACAATAAATCTCAACCGGAATTTTACGGTCGGACGGACTGGATCGACCCTTCTCGGGCTCTGCTTACGAATTCATATCACACCGTCTTGGCCTGAAAAAGGCTAAAGCCTTTATGTCTTTATAGGAGTTTATTCCATGAAAACGACGAGTGGGACGTTATAAACGACCCGATAAAAGCCCCCACTGCAGCTGGCCAAAAAAATTAATTATTATTAGCCGTGTATTGGTATGCCATACGCGCTTTTTAACAACTGTTCCCTCGGTTTTGTACCCGAACAAGACTTACGTTGCAATCCAGAGTAGATCATATATCACTGGTTTCGAAATAAACAAAGAATTAAGAAACTACTGGAAATTAAGCGTATTAACTTTAATCGTTTTTGGGGAACTTTTATAGTTTTTGGAACCATACTTATTGTGGCGTTTAATAAACTTCCAATAAAAATAAAAAATAAAAAACTACTTTAACTCGATCAGATATTTTTTACAGGGGGTACTTTTGAAATCTAATTTGAGTATGGTAAAAAATAATTAATGTGTAAAACWCCAATACCTATTCGGTTAGTAAGCAATAGATATTCAAATTTATAGTTGGCTTAGACCAGAAAAATATAAATTAAAAGAATATTTTAAAAAATAAATATAAAAAAATARTTTATAGGATTTAAATCACTAATGTGGATTATTTTTATATCATATAATGATTTACGAAATGGCTCATTTTAGAATGTTTTTACTTTCATAGAATCCATATAAAAGAAATGTGAGTAAATTGAATCAAAGACAATTGGTATTTAAATAACTTGAAAATAACAGTATCAATTTGGTGATTACGTAMGGATTATTTTAATTTAAAATTGAAATCACTAGTTCATGACTAATTTAGAAATCATTAAATCAAAATTGTTATTGATATGTTTATCATTCAGACAGTATTTTTTACTAATTGTGTTTAATTAATATAGACCTTTAATAATATTTTGCTATTTTATCAATAAATTTTCAATAATTAATCAATTAAAATGAATAAAAAAAAAAAGTTTGGATATGAAATGCTTAAAATTGTTATTTAAGAGGTAGGTACTACATTCTAACGTAAAATACCTTATAATATGTATTTTCTGTTTAACATTTTTCCAACGAAAAAATATTGCTATAATTCCTAACTTTTGTGGTCGAAAAAATTATAATTTGTTGCTATGGGAATGAGGATACGTAAAAGACAAAAACAATCTCTCACAAACCAAACTTTTTAAGTAAAGTCAAGAKATTTGGCACGATTCCTTTTAACAACAAAGGCGTTTATAGTTTGTACGCGTATAATATATCTTTCTATTCCGTACACTAATAAATTGAATTTTTTATGTACTATTTCGATATTATAAAAAACACAGTCTGCCCTTACTTTATCTACAGTACGCAAAATGATTAGATATTATATCGTGCATTACAAAATTAGACATCGATTTATTAAGATTAAAATAACAAATAATTTTCTTAAATTTAAATTAAACTTAAATCACTAAAGTGGCAACTGAAACGATTAAAATATTATGCCTAAYACCTAGGCCACAGCACTRAATAATAGGGTCTTCATAATACACTGTAAAAATCGTCTTTACTAGGCTTAAATAATACGGRATTCGTTTTTGGAAACTTACCATCTGGTACCGCAGACGATGCCATCAAGAAACCGACGCAAGCGGCCCCGGTTCCATGACCCATTAATGTTACGTTACTAGGGTCACCACCAAACACAGCTATATTCTCCTGTATCCAGTGCAGAGCTGCTATTTGGTCCATAAGACCATAGTTGGACGGTGACTTGAGGTGCTGATTGGAGTTGAGATTTAAAAAACCTAAAGAACATAATAAGATTTCACATGAATAATATAAAATAATAATAATAATAATAAATAGAGATAAATGGGGACAATGCAACATTGATTTACAGCAAGCAGACATGAGCTTAAATCCGGCAGCCATTTGTTCATGATGTACACTTTAGATCCACGGAAAGGGCTGAGGAGGAGAGACGAAAGTCTTTTTGTTGATACGGTCGAGGGAGAGAGAGAAATCAGTAGGAAGGAGGTTTGCTCCACGTTGAGCTCCCTTTTCCACTCTTTCAAGCCTGTTAAAGTTTAGTCTTAACGGCCGGATGTGACTTTAAGACGTAGAGAAGCGCTACACATAATCCATGACAATAAATGCTTCTGGGAATTCAGCTCAGTAGATGGTTACYAGATGATATCGATGAATGACGACGGCGACAATTGACGAGTAAGATATCTTTTTTTAGCAAATTGCTCTTGTTTATTTATTTTTTTTCTATGGTTTATTGTTATTTAGATTAAAATAATTTAAAATAATATTTTTTATCTACATTTCAGGATTTAATGGACTTAGCATGATGAATATAATATAATTGTTTGTATTTGACTAGGTTAAGTTGTCTTAACTGAATTACACATTGTTTAATTAGAACGGAATGCTAATAAAACAATCACATTCACGTTAGGAATATTATTTATTATGTTACTAAAAAATATAAAATAAAATATCAATAAATATACATTATACTATTTGGAAAATTATACTCGGACATGACTTAAAAATTAATTTTTTACTTGGGTTCTGTACGTATACACAATATGGAGTTTTAATTGATATTTGTGTTGAGCTTAATACATAAATTACTTTCATACAATAGATACGCAATGGATATTGTTAATTGTTTTATATTATATAATTTTTTGAAATTTATATATTTGAAGCCAGTGGTAAAATGATAATTAATTTTTAATTTAGTATATTTGTTTTTCAGCTGATTTAATAGATTAAAAAAAAATATGAATTTAGCTTATTACTTATTGTTAAATCGTCTGAATAGAATAAATCACACGATTATGAGGTGTAATATACTAATATAGGTTATAGGAAGAATATTGGGTTTAATAGGTATATTTTTAAAATCTAATTATTTATAATCTAATCTAACTAGATGGTTACGTTAAATGTCAGGATTTTGAAGAACTAACACAATGTATATAATATATAAAGCTATAGACATTTAAAACAGTCAATCATTCGTGATATACCACTAACATCAGTAAGAATCGTTTTATTTMATTTTAATATGTATATGCAATAGGTTATCAAAGGCAGGTAGTMAAATTCATAGCGCGTTTTAACTGGCATTAATTTATGTTAAATTAATGATTTTTAATTTAAACACGATATAATATAAGCATTTGAGTTCTGTAATCTAATTTCGTTGCGTTTGTGATCAATTTGGTAAAATTTTTGACAAGTGGTTAATAATATTATATAAAATATGATGAATATTATATTGTTGTATTGTGCAGCATAAATAACTATTACGTTTGTAAATATCTACCTATATTGTATAATAAAATTACATATTAGTGATCATCAAAATATAATATAAGATACGTATTTTTTCCAAGACGTAGTGTAATCACAAAATGAGAGATAAACCAATATGTAATATAGTTTAACAAGTGACAAAAGAGATGTAMAATTCACAAATTGTAATTCATATTTTAATGGTGTGTATATTTTGTGATAACAAGTTGACGATTTGAATGTAAATTAAGTTTGGGCACCTATTTTCATAACTAAACCTTGATTTATCATAACTTGTGATAATAATTAATAGCTAACTACCTTGATTCTAAAAACCATTATTTTCATCCATAATTACAATAGTTGATTATTTCCWATACCATTTGGTTTATAACAACTTCAGAAATGGATATTACCATAGAATATAGACAGTATTTTTTTACTTCATTAAAAAAAAGTTAATTATACTTTAACGACACTTGATAACATTAAACACATRCCGTAATGCAGGCARAGTATCCAATTCATTCAGTACTTTATAATAATTTTATTAAAGTATATATTTTTGTCATTGTATATTTAACAGTTTTACTGATCATTGTGATCATTTTTAAACCAATGTAAACAAAAACTTTGTTTTTTTTTAATTCTCAGTCATTTAAAGCAACGATATTGTATCATGTTTAAATTTCCGAAAACTTCGTCCAATGTCTATTTCCTTTCAAACGAATCTCATTTAAAATTTAGATTTATAAAACACTTAATATTTAGCAACATCTTTACGAAAACTTTTTTCAATTTATTCTATGGTTTTTAAAGCGTGCTAAATAATAGAATAATAATGACAGAAAATGAGTGTTTTATTTCAGAATATAATATATATCTTTATTTTTTGGAGACTTTTTGAAATGGTCATAAGAGAAAATGTGTATTACCATAAATTACAATTGCGATCATAAATCCTAATAAATATTGACGTATTTTAAGCGCAGTATGATTTATAAAATATTTTAAATCAAGGATGAAATAGTAATGGAATAGGTATAGTAAATTTTTYATCCATATTTCAAATTCAATTTTAATTTTGTATTTAAATAGGTATATATAAAATAAATTCAATTAATATGACGATACTAAATTATTGTAATTTTAAATTGAAATTAGGTATTAAATTTAGTGTTCGTATGTAATATGAAYWAAATATAATATTATAAAACTATGCGATTCATATGAAGTGGATTTAAATAGTACACATAAAACACAATAATACATCAAGTGGAAAAACAATATGAAATTAAAGTTTGCTGATATCACACAGCAGGCTGTAGTCACGCGTAATATAATTCTGAGCGTACATACGAGTAGGTATAAATTACGAACTTACGCCACGAATCAAATTCAATTATAGATAGGTAGGTATTGTAGTGTAAAATTAATGGAAGTCACATCAACTCTACACATACGAGTCTAAAGATTTGCTGCGAGTTTACAGATAAAACTAAACTGGACGTTCATAAAGAAAACCGCACGATGTGATACAATATCAATAACAATAATATTGCAATTGGATCGTTGCTCGTGTACTTTGTTGAAAACTAATTGAATAAAGCATCAGATATTCCATCAGTCATGATCTATAGTAACTACATGACTACCTACCTACTGAAATATGATTTCTGGTCTATGTGTAACAAAATGTTACCAAGGAACTTTTCTAAAGTAGTGTTTTAAAATTGAATTTGATTCATTCAACCTTCATTGTTTATTGTCCGTAATAGAATTTAACTTTAATTAATATATCCGCATAATATGAACCCGAAATGATTCAATAATCGGCTATACCATTCTAGTTCTTCATCTCCGAGTCATGTGATTAATTTAAATACAACACGCAGTTGCTTATGATCGATTTGTAATATAATTTATTTTTATTTTTTGTATATTTAATTTAACCATAGCTAGCAAAACCAATGGGATTTACAAAAAAACAATTTATTTATTTATTTTGACGTAATGATGAAGTCGACTGATGATTTAGTCCGGAATATTTTTAGAACTGTTATTGAAATGGATATATTAATATTATATTATCACTAGGAAATTTTAACTCTTTAATAAACTCTTACTATTATAGTAATAGCACCTATTGCAATATTAGCAGGCCCGGTATCGATGATTTTGAACAATATATTTTAACTTCTGTTATAGTAAAGTTATAACAATGTTTTGTAATCAATTTTTCGCATTCATTTTTTTTACTCATTCATTTATTTACTTCAATGTTTAAGTAATTACATTTTTGTTTGCATTAAACATTCAAATAAACAGCGGCCGACCAATCCGGGAAGTAAATCGTACTTCAATGGAATTTAAAATCATGAATGCAATAATTTTATTTTATTTTTATTTTATTTTTTATTCATGACTAACTATCAACAACTATCGTTATATTAGCTTGACAAATTTTAGTGTGATAAGTGACAACGATAAATGTCAAAGATTTATTTTTAGTTACGAATTACAATAGTATGATATTGTGTTGTAACTTTTTTGTAGAATTTAAATATTCTATGTAGATGTTCATTATTATATTGAAATATAAATTATTTGTATTTGTTTAAATACGATTTTTTTCATTTGTTTTTAAGATTTATTTAAACTACAAGTTTTTGATGCATGGCATGTAATATTATAATATTATTTGCCGAATAATACGCGTACATGTTTTGTATAGAAATTTGCAATTTTATCAAACAAACATGCAACAAAACTACAGCGCATACAAATGTTTCAATGGAAATGGCACGGCCAACAATGAACTATCTGGAAAACATTAAAACCGAAAATACTTTGTTATCATAAATCTTTATTTTCCTAAACTTAAGTCTGCCACGGAAAAAGTAGGAGGATAAACAAGATCAAGATGACTGAGTTATAAAACGTTAAAAAAAAATAAAGTAATTTTTTTAATTAGTTAAACTTTTCAATTTACGACCATTTCCTCGCAATAATTTTTAACGTTATTAATTCTGTAATATATCACGAAATAATGATTTATTTCTATGACTAGTGTATATAGTATACAATTTCTGCTATGGTAAGTGGGGGGGGCTGAATAAACGTATGCTGACCGGCAATCAGACAAAATATCTTAAATTTATATTTATATCTTTCAAGGTTTTAAACATATAATAATACATATTTATAACATAATTGTAGGTATTTGTTATGAATATCTCGAAGCTTTACCACCATTTCCCCGAAATAATCACGTTTATTCGAATGCATTATAACATTATAATGTACATATTCCATATTGGTATTTTGTTTAAATATGAATAAAATAATTGAAAATATTTCTAACATTAAAAAGCTTAATATATATTTTGGTTGTAATCATATTAGAACTATGAGTATATACATTTTTATATTAACAAGAAAATACTGGGACAAATGGTATGTCAATGGTTGATAAAAAAATAAAACTATTAAG